GTATGTCTATTACTATTGCCTTCAGTGTCAGTCATTATCATATGTACTGCATGTACATATAACATGTATTATTCTTTATTGATCCACATGGTGAATATTAGAATAAATAATCATAAAATATATGAATCATTTTATCCATTGTTATGAAAAGCTGTAAAGAAAATGTATCATGGTTTGCTGTATTTTGTTCTCATTTAGATAGTGACTCTCCTAAATGATCTCTACACTTGTTTTGATGCTATTATCGACAACTTTGATGTTTACAAGGTATTTCTAAAACACCACTGTCTTTTCTTCAATCAAACATTTTACAGACAAATAGTTCAATTTGCTTACGATTTATTCTTCTGCAAACAAGTACACTAAATTATAAGTGTACCGCAGCAGTCTATATTTTGTATCAATGTGTGATATAATGATAATTTAATTATCTAGAAAAGGGAATGAAATGAATTGTGCAGGATCCACATTTCTTGACTCCAAGTGTCGGTTGTCCGGTAGGTGGAGACGATTGGTGATGCCTACATGGTTGTCTCTGGCCTGCCAGTCCGTAATGGGAAGATACATGCGTGTGAGATTAGCCACATGTCCCTTGCTCTGCTTGAGGCTGTCAAAACATTTAAGATTTCTCACCGACCGGACCAGCAGCTCAAACTGCGCATCGGCATCCACAGTGGTGAGCATAATACAAGCTCTTTTATATGCTGAGAATTTATTGTAAAGCTCTATATCCATGATTGGGACTGATGCTGGTTTGGGTAGAGCTTTCTAAATCTTTTTATTAATAGAATAATTATGTTACTATCAACCCCAATATAGGTCAACTGTCTAGAACACAAACCCAAACTGCCTTTCACTATTTAATATCCATGGGTTTGTGTGTTGTGTGTGTGTGTGTGTGTGTGTGTGTGTGTATTTTCAGGCCCTGTGTGTGCTGGTGTAGTAGGCCTAAAGATGCCTCGGTACTGTTTATTTGGAGACACAGTGAACACATCATCACGCATGGAGTCCAATGGCGAGCGTAAGTTATGTAATACTGTGAGCTTCCAAATCTCCAAAGTTACATGGATTTTGTTCAACCACAACAAATAACAATTTCTGGAACTTATACTACTCTTATGGTTAAAGCTTGTGATTTTATTTGGAGTGAAACAAAATGAGCTCCACTCCCTGTGTTAAGAGATGCATAGAAATGCAGAAAGAGAAGATTATTATTTACACTCATGCCAAGAAACTTGGCATACCTCTTTTAATGCAAAACCATGAGTCATGGTGTTACATGGTGTAACAAACCATGTAAACCATGTAGAAATACTTGTATTTGTTTTTTTATGCATTTTATTTGCAGACTTATTTGAGACTTGGGTGGCTAATAAACAGTTTTTTTTAAATACAAATGCACACTGTATTTTTTTTCCATCAAATGCATGCATATGGGAGGTAAGTAAAGTCACCTTTCTGCTAAGCATGCTGTAGCCCCACTTTGATGGGCTAATTGACAGGTGGTCATTTGAAAATTCCAACCCACTAGCTAGCTCTTCCTTATCATACGTCTACCAACTAGGGTTGAAGGCTAACACATGCTTTCTCTAAGACACATGAAGCCAGCCAACCAAATACTTTCAAACTGTTGCTCATGCTGTATCACAGGGAAGCATAACACACTCACATGAAAGCTCAATCTACTCTTTTCCACATATATGAGCTCACACATGCCCAAAATTGATTGTTGTGATTGACAGGGGAGTCAAACACGTATGCCACCCACCCCCACCCAGAGCGCATGGCCAATTTTTCTCCCATGGCTCCCATCCATGCTACCAACTTGGGTCAAACCCAGGAATGGCTGTGGCATGATTAGCTTTAGATTTCCTGCCCATAGGCCAAAGTATCTTCTGCTGCACCACTCAGGATCATCTTAAGTCTATTTTGTCACAGAATCAACACAGTAGTGAGGAAATGTTATGGCTGAATTTTGATCTCTTTCTAGCATGGTGTTTTTGATAATGGGATTTCATATGCCTTGTTGGAGAGGGCAAATTGCATAATAAGGCAAATGTCATTTCAGTTTTCATTTTGAAGCCAATACTTCATAACTGCTAAAAACATATCCATGCATAGTGGGGAAAAACATTTTTAGAGTCTGTATTTGTATTTGAATAAAAGCTTCATAAGCTGCCCAAGTCTCTCTGTCAGTGCTACCTGCACACCACAATGCAATTAAACTTGAATTTTCATTCTGAGCCAAACTGAGGACGTTTATCGTCATTCAAATATGTAGTCAGAATATGCTTCAATATTTCATTATACTTTAGTAAGAATATATATTGTACTAATGGCATATTTATTGGCAGCCTTGAAGATCCACGTGTCATCTGCCACACATGATGTGCTGCAGGAATTTAACTGCTTCCATCTAGAGCTGAGAGGAGATGTGGAACTGAAGGGCAAGGGCAAGATGAGGACCTACTGGCTGTTGGGAGAGACAAAGAGCAGTGAGTGAATGGAGTCAGATGTTGAACAGGACCCAGACAGTACACCTAAATCCCTGCTGCCAGGACGTCCGCTCTCCTTTTGCACAGTCCTTCACTTCTATTCCAGTATGCAGCATTACTGGAGTTGAACTCTGGCTTTTCTACTAATGGAGAAACTAAGATGTTTTATACACTGTGATCACCACTTATTGATATTTGGCTTTTATAAATTAAACATGTAATGCCATTAAGATTCTGAGTGCACATGTAATCCCATTAAACACATCTAGTAGTATATATGTGTCTCAACATTTTGAGGTGTTTTAGAGAATTAGTGCCATCTGAGTCTGAAAATGGATTGATATATATATATATATATATATATATATATATATATATATATATATATATATATATATATATATATATAACTTACAGGATAGAAATTCTGTTCCGTATTATCATTATTTGTCCTAATTCAACTTTGTAATGTGAAAATAATGATCAATTATACTACCATATAATTTACATGAATAACATCTGAATTCACATGAATAACATCTGTATTTTTTTAAAGATTGTACAAATGGTTATTTTCTGTGACAGAGTACACCTGGCATTGCACCTAGCTGTTGAGACTTTGCTATTGTTTCTTCTTCTTCTTCTTTTGGCAGTAAATCTAAATTAATTCTCCATATACCAATTTTTGTCGGTACTCAACTTTGCGATATATATATATATATATATATATATATATATATATATATAATATAAGAGAATCATTTGACAGTGCTTACACCATGTATAATTAGAAAAGTCATTTATGTTTTACTTTCATTTGAAATGCACACTGTTAATCACAGCTGTAACTTTTGTGCTTTGGGGAAAATGGTTAGTAAATGTTTAGATATATTTACATGTGAAATACCTGAAACACTCATACAATGTTTTGCAAAGTGTCATTTGTTTTATAAAAAATAAACAAATGCTGAGCAATACATGTTTTTAATATTGATGAGTTGAATCTGTTCTAGATCATTAAAAAAAAAAGAAATCACAAAAGTGACACTTCTTCCAAATGGTACACTCAGCACCTCGATTATAATCCCAGCCTATAAACCGATCGTATTTTACTAATGCAAGATGTCCCTGATTTTTTTAAAAGGCGTTTATATTGTTAGCCAATTAAAATCCCTTCTTCAGAAGGGGGTGAACTTGGCATCAAAAACATTGTAATCTTTGTTTAATTTTAAATATTTATTTTTCTAGTACGTTAGCATGGCCTCGAATACTCTGAGTATATGAGGAAATTGTTGGAGCTTGGAGTTTTTTCGTAGATTTTTACAATGATATTCAGTGTATTTTTGTAATAAGTATTCATTTGTGGATTTATAATGGTACGTTAACCGCCCACATATACACCAAGTGCACTAAGCAGTAACTACAATTTAGTTATTGTACACTATGCTGAATAATATACAGCATGGCATAATAACACACTGTTTATATGTGATTGCGAAATATATGCTAGTGTACTCGATTTAATACGAGTGCCAGTCAATTATGTATATCCACTAATCACTAGACACTGAAACGTAAAAGGTAATGCTGAGATAGATTTACACGAACTACAGCGCCATCTGTTGGTTGAATGAGTCCATGACTATGAGTAAAATAAAAACCTGTTTTTTAACTAAATGCAGTGTTTGTCGTGAAAGTATAAAGAACCTTTGTGCGGTTTCTTGTAGTAAAGATATTCAGCTTTTTCTATGGTTGTTGCAGATGGATCTCCTGACACAGTGGTTCCATGGTGTAATGGTTATGACTTCATTCCTACTTCTCCCTGGGTCACATATTTATTGTTCAATTAATCATATATTTATGTTCAATAAATAATTTAATGCATGATTAAAAATATTCGCAATAAACAATTCTTCCATTTCTATTTTAATGTGCTGCAACAGGTCAAACTGAATCTGAGTATATCAAAAGCGACTCATCTAATGACTTAAAGTGGGGGCCGCCAGGGGGCGCCCGGGGGCCTCAACAATTTGGTGTTAAAAGTAAATAAATATGCTTTCTCATTCTCACTCTCAGACAACCACACACACACACACACACACACACACACACACAGACTATCAATTCCTAATGTAATGTAAAGATGTAAGATGTAATTATTAACAATAAAAAAGGGGGGGATATATTCAGAAATCTGTATTTTTAATGTGTTTTAAAGACATCTTGCAAAAGGGGAGCCTCTGCCAAATTTAACGGCATTTGGGGGGCCTTGCCCTGGAAAAGTTTGGGAACCCCTGGTCTAAATGTCTCAGAAGTCCTCTAGTGGCTGACTTTAGTCCAATTTTTTTTTTTTTTTAACTTTACTCCAATATTTTTAAATAAACATTTTAAAACATCTTCTGACATAAAGAGAGACATCTGTTCCTTTCTTTTACCACAAGTCTTATTTATTGTATGTCCCACCAAGAAATAACCTGAAATAACCTGAAATAACTAAGGCGTAGTGGTTCCATGGTGTAATGGTTAGCACTCTGGACTCTGAATCCAGCGATCTGAGATCTGAGTTCAAATCTCGGTGGAACCTGCCTTATTTACTAGGCAAAGTACATGAGATTCACAAGAAATTCTGAATGGATTTAAAAGTTTTAAAACATCTACTGACATAAAGAGGAACATTTATTCTTTGCTTTTACAACATGTTTTATTTATTGTATTTCTGACCAAATGTACTGATCCATACTCCATTTTCATTACGATATTCAGTTTTTTCTTGGGTCAATGCCATTTTCCTGAAGGCAGCTTTGCAGTGTGGTTCCATTGTGTAATGGCTAGCAGTCTGAACTTTGAATCCAATGATCCGAGTTCAAGTCTTGGTGGAACCTTTATGCGGTTTCTTGTAGTAAAGTTATTCAGCTTTTTCTATGGTCAATGCAGATGAACCTCCTGGCTCCACCGCTGGCAGAGTGCTGGTACCTCCCTACATTCAGAGTGTGTCACCCCCACAAGCCAGGTCAAATCCGACTCATGTTTGACTCTTGGAGTGTCTCTTGATGATATGTTGCTGACTGCACCAGATCTGAACAATGGTTTGTTGGCAGTTCTGATGCGTTTTTGGACATGAACAGGTCAAATACTGGATGTGGGTCCACGTATTTGGCAACAGCCCCTCTCCAGTGCTAGCAACCTATAACCTCAGATGAGCTAGTCTACACAGAGAGGATGATTTGGAAATGCAGCAAAGGAATTCATACATGGAGAGTTCTATGTAAACAATGGCCTCAAATCTCTGCCCTCGTAACTGAAGCCGTCATCCTACTCAAGATTTGATAGTGCCTATACCATCAATTACCTACTGTATAATAAGCGATTAACTGTGATAAAAATATAACCCTCTTACCCATCAGAAAAGCATTGTAACCCATGGCCTCCAGTGGCTTAACGCATTCATAAAACGGTGACAAAGCTCATTTTAAATACACCATATCAATAAAATATATTTTTTAATTTTATTTGTATTATTGTTAGTATTTGCAATTAACATTTCCTCCATGCCAATAAATTTCCTGAAAGTATCTAGGCTCAGGGGTTTCATGGTGTAATGGTTAGCACTTTGGAATCTAGTGATCCAAGTTCAGATCTCAATAGAACCTACATTACAACTGCTTGAACTTGGTTATGTTTGGCCAGTACTCTAGCCTCACAGTCATTCAGATAAAAGCATCAGTCACATGTCTGGGAAACTGATTGTGCCTGTAATACCATATGCCAACTACACTATAATAAATAATACTTAGGTTTCTGCAGGTGTGAGAGCTAGAAGGAAAATCATCAAGGGCAGCAATTCTTTTCCTTAGAAACAGGTTTTGTTCTAATCTAAATGTTGACTCATTTAACTCTGTGTTTTCAGTTGGTACTTTCAGTTGTATTTTCATTGGCTACATTACTTAAATTGTCATTGTGGATAATGTTAGCTCACTTGCAAATGGTAGCTTAGTCACTCATGGCTCAAAGCGCTCAACAATAAAATCAATATGGCTGCAAAAATTATACAACTTCAATATAGCATTCACATATTATTTAATAACACTGTACTTTGAGTTACTATATGAACTATATATGAACTATAATATCTAGATACCATGTCCACTTTCAGTATGGTTGGCTGAGAGTTGTACCCACTGCCTATCTGGTCATATCTACTGCAAGATGACAATTCCAATTTCAACCTAAAAAGGTTTTAAAACCACACAATGAGAGTGAATGTTGCCATATTCGTTATAATACAATAAATACCGCTTATAAGTATTACTACATAATAACTGTTATCATTGTGTTTTTACCATACAGAGTTATTATCATGTTATTATGTTGTTATTACGGGTGTGGGCATATACTAAGTGCTTAAAAGAAGGAAAAAAATAGCTATCCAAGTAGAACATAAAAGCTTGAGCTGCACTTACCTCATTTCAGTCCATCATAATAACTGAGTATACAGTACAGTATATAGCTATAGTATAGTATAGAATATTATATTATAGTACAGGACGCTTTTCGCAAGAAAATACCATTGAATGTTTCACCTTGAAAATATGAAATTTCACAACAATGTTAAGTTGTTTTTTTTTTCATTTCATTTCTTTCCTTAACAATGTGACAGTGAATTGAGTTCATAATAAGAGTATACATATCGGATAGACGGTCCTTTGCGAGAAAATGGCATTAAAATATTCTACTTATTGAAAACGTTTTGCCAGTCTCGACATGAAAGACATCAGACTATTTCCTTCAGAGCACGTTCTTTATTTTCTTGCAGTTTTGCCCCCCAAAATGTGACAACAATCTGCTTTTGGACAACAGTGTAGAGATCTTACCATTAATTGTGATCTCTTTCCAATTACTACATCTAGTTATGGTAAATAACCAGTATTTTGAATAGCTATTTACATTAAAAATTAATTGTTCTCACTGAAGAAACATTTTCAGAAGAAACATTCCCTGTTGAAGGGAAAAGTTGTTACGTATAATAATCAGTAAAAAAAAAAAAAAGTATGTAAACTAGTTTATATATTTGGACTAAAACAGCCTTTTTTACAGACAGGTAGATACCGACAACCGCCGATAATAAACATCAGCTGTCCAGATACTGTCCTGTCCGATCGCTCCTCGGTATAAGGGTCATTTTATCGTCGAAAAATAGCGATTCCCTTCTGCGCACTCGAGGCCTCTCCGCCAAAGTAACGAAGCCGTATGGAGTGGTGACTTTTGCGAGATGTAGTAAAGACATGGCCGGGTCAGATGGAGAGCAAACGGAGTGCAGCTCGTCAGTAAGCGGGAGCTCCTGCAGCGGGCAGCGGCGGCGGTGGAGACCTCGCTCCGGCAGTGAGGCTGAACTCGGCGGAGAACAACCCGGAGGAACCGCGAGCACACACCGGGGAGGAATAGTGAAAGGAGGCACGGTGTCTGGAGTTAGCGCCATGTCACGCAGTGTGACGTGTCTCCTCCTCAGCGGATGCTTGTCCCGGGAGCTTGCCTTGAAAGCTTTGGTGGGAAAACCAGGAGGCTGTTCAATTCTCGACATGTCTCCAGGATGTTTCTGTGAAGTCCTCCAGGTCTACTGGGCTTTCCAGATCATTTCTCCTTTTCCTCCTGTCGAGTATTTAAACGAATGAAATTGACTAATTGAAACACTTTCCAACTGAGTGGAGTTCTCACCATCCCACTTGGACTGTACCGATGAGAAGTGAATCAGATTACAATCAAGGACAAATATAGCTGCTTTTGGCTCTCAGACTCCACCCATAGCTCCACCTGTAACCAGAGAATGGCTTAAAAGATGAAAGTGGATTCTATCTCCTAAACCAAGACATCTTATTTCTCACTGAGATGGAAACAATCAAACATCATTTAGGTTAGATGTAATCTGGCAATTTCCTACAATTTAAACCGTGATAGCGGGTATGGTGGTTTAGAGGTTTGCACGTTTGCCTCGGACCTCCAGGGGTTGGGGTAGGATTCCTGCCTCTGATCTGAGAGTTTGTATGTTGTTCCCCATACTTCGGGGGTTTCTTCTGGGTACTCTGGTTTCCTCCCCCAGTCAAAAGACATGTGTTGTCGGCTGATTGGCATTCTGTAATCGTTGTGTGTGAATGTGCGCGCGATTGTGCTCTGTGACGGGTATGCACCCCATCCAGGGTGGTCCCTGGAATAGTCTCCAGGCTTCCCCGTGACCCTGTGTAGGATAAGCGCTATAGAAAATGGATGGATAATCTGTGACAAGATTGGAAACAATCCAGATCTTGAAACCCTGATTTCTGCATAACCACCACCACTTCTGCAGGCACTCGCAGATCCTAACCTTTTTGACGTTAAGTAATGCTCCACTGATACATTATATTTAGACCTCCAATCTATGAATGCTATGAAAATGCCGAGAATAGTGATATCACATAATGATATAAACCTACTGGCACCGAACACCCCTCCGCCCCCTAACAGTAAATCAGCTTCAGTCCGTACACTTGGTCCTGCGTCCTGTGGTTACTAGGAGGTTATCCTGCAGGGGGCGGTACTGTTTATTTCAGCCTCTAGTATTCGCGGAAGGAAATGTTTGTAACACCCGCCAAACGTCATTTTGTTGTGGCTCGGTTTGCTAGCTACTGATGGCTACCAATACCAGCTTACAGGTAAGCAGTTTATTAGTTTAAAATGAATGAATTAAAAGCAGTTACACATTAGAGAGAGGCCATCGTGTCCTGAGAACAAACTTTGAGGTAGAGATGTCCTGTAGAGGGTAAATTTAGCCAGCTTTGTGTATGTTGTTTACTAACAAAGCTGCACTGCTGGCTTTCAGTCAACACCAGATGCAACTCGATGAACCGGAGATTTTTACCATCAAGAAACATGTGTAGCGAACGTGCCTACCTTTTATTTCACAGTTCATCTGCTGCCAAAACACTCCGCTAGCGAGTTCGTTAACTAGTTGTAGTCAATTAAAGAAACACCCGAATCGAGTAATCTGCCTAACCACTGTATTGTGTCTTAGTGTCCTTAACAATGGACACCGAGTTGTACGTTGTTGTGATGGTTTAAAAAAAAAAAGACAATCCGACAGATTTTCTTAGTCGAAAGACATAGCCTCAAAAAGTCGATCACATTCATCACATCTTATGCTATAGGCTACTATCTAGAGAATGTTTAGTGTAAACCCGTGGCAAGTAGTTGGGGGAGAGAGTGAAACCTAAAGCCATCCAGCATACAGACTGGCAGTTCATTTTCAGCGGTTTTAGACCAACCATTGTTCTGTTTCACTAGGGTTGCCAGGTCACAGCGAAATTCCACCCGGCTCTATTTTATAAGCCACACAAACGACTTGAAACTGGGAATTGGAAAAGAGATGTATTTACTTCGTGTTTTTTTTCTCAGCCTTTGCGTGAAAATACATTTCTGACCCATTTCTGATGTACAGACCGTCCTTAATTCCCCTTTTTCCTCTCGCAATATTTGCAGTATATCGTACAACAGAAATGATCTACATCATAGACACAGCTGCATTTACACTTCCTTTCGCTGAAATGTATTGGTCTTAATTCTTTTTACTTGCTGTACTGTAGATCTCGGCGGCGGCGGCTGAGTATTTATTTATTTTAATAGTACAATCTGGCAACCCTGTTGTTAACGGTCCTGTCCAGTGTTCCTCCTCCGAGCATGAGGCAGCGGGATTGGTGCGCCGCTGTTAACCTCTATTTAACTTTTGAATTTAACATGTATGGAGATGTAAATGATGATGAGTTTGTGAAAATTAACATTGGGTAATAAGCCATAAGCAAGATGGGGCAAAAAATAGCTTGATCAGAATGAGTGTCTGTCAGTGATTCTGTTTAAA